GTTCCCCGGCCTCCTTGCCCTGTGCCCCTGTGCCTACCCCAGAGAGCAGGTGGCTCCAGGGACGGGGTGTGGGAGGAGGGAGGAAGATGGGGGGCTGAGAGAGGAACCAGGTTACTGGTGCTCCTGCTTCTCCCCCACCCCGCCCGCCTGTGCTCCAGGAGGAGCATAAAGAGCTCTTTCTTTCCTGCTTATTAATAGCTCTGATTAAATGATCTCTGAGCAACCTACGGGGTGTGCACCAATGGGGGCTCGGCGCCCTCCCAGCTCTGGCCTAGTTCACAGCAAGAAGGGCAGGTGAGGTCACTGGCTGCGAGGTGGGGGAGAGGGCAGGCCTGCAGCTCCCCTCTTCACCGCTCCCCACCTTCACCCCACCAGGGAAAAAGGCCCCAGTCTCTGCCCTCTGGCCAGCACTGCCATACTTGGAGACTCACCCCTGCCCCCAGGACACCTGCAGCCACCCTCCCTGCATGGGTGGGCGAGCCCCCTGCCAGAGGCAATCTTCCCCCACCTCTCTCTTGGCTGCTGTGCCCCCCTGCACCTGGCAGGTGGATCTAGCCTTCTCACCAAGAGAGATAGATACTTGTTCTGGGCTACCCCCCTCCTCCATGATGACACCTGCTACCTGTCCCTGGGAGTCCCACGCACCCCCAGTCCCTGTTTGGCCTCCTGCCGAGTTTCCAGGGCACTTATTGAGGAAATGTTGAATGAAGGGGGGAGATTAGCAGAGTTCCAGGAGGGGCAGGGGGCAGTGCTCACTGCCTCAGTGAGCGGGAGGCAGACCATGAATGCGGCAGAGGTGGGGACTAAAATTCAAGGTCCCTGGACCCCTGAGCGATGCCTAGATAGCAATCCAGCCCATTTCACAGGTGGGGAAACTGAGGCAGGGAGGATCTGAGGAGTAACCCAGTTAGCCTGACTCCATTCCCTTCTCTTCTTCATGTGTCCCACTTCCACCCCGCAGCTAGAAACCAAAACAAGCCAAAACCTAGGCTACATTGATTACTTGATTCAGGGATTCACCCAACAAACTTTAGGAGCTGACCTTGCACCAAGCCAATGCTTAAGAATCTGTGGGTCCAAATGCAGCGGCAGCCCTTGGAGAGCCCTCAGGCTGGTGGGGAAGCTGATCAATCCACCCACCAAGAGGGAGGAGTGCCACAGCACAGAGGGGGTGCAGTCAGGGAAGGCTTCCCAGAGGAGGAAGCCCTGTAGCCAAAAGCTAAAGAAGGAACTGTGGCTCTGGAAAGGAGGAAATGAAGGGGACAGCTAGAGCTAAGGGCAGGGCACTTGGGAAGGTGGTGGTGCAGGTATTTTCACAGGGTTGATGTGGAGGCAGACACACAAAACAAGGAGAAAGCAGGGGCCCTCTGCACCCCTCACCCCCTCGGGGCCTCTTGGACCCCTGGCCTGAGCCAGTGTTCAGGGCACCAGCAGGCTCCGTGGCTCTGTGAACCATGGCAAATCCATCTTGACACTGTCTCCGGTGAAATAATGCTGAGTTATTGGATACAACCAATAGCAAAGGCCTGACAGGCTGACCTGAGGGGGGATGGGGTGTGCAGGGGTCGAGAGCTCTGGGTGTGGGGGTGGGTAGGGTGTATGGAGCCCAAGGCCAAATATCTTGAGCATCTTAGGGAGAAACCTCCAGCGGTGCAGGAGCGGTGCAGGAGGCCGCTGGAAGGCTGTGTCTCCCTTACCTGGATGAAAACGTTTTGAAACCCATGCAGGATTGTTCCCAGGACACATGTTTCCATCAACTTAGTGAAGATGCCTTGTTCCCCACAGCTTTGGGAATATTTTGCATGGAGACAAGCATCTCTTAATTCTGTTTCTGTTCACTCTTTAAAGTAGCCCTGCAGAGCTGCCGTTTGCATTTTTCTTTGAAAGGCAAAAGAGATAGAATCTTTCTTTCCTCTGCTGATTCATTCTCCTCAAACGCCTTGCAACAGCCAGGGCTGAGCCAGGCCACAAGCTAGGAGCCAAGAACTCAATCCAGTTCTATGCCACTGCCAGGGACCCCCGTCCTTGAGCCATCACCTGCTGCCTCCCTGCCATGAGCAGGGAGCTGAATGGGAAGCTGAGGAGCTGGGATTGGAACCAGGGGGCTCTGGTACGGGGTGCAGGCATCCCAAGTGAGCACACTAGCATTGTGCCAGTTCCCTGCCCCCACTGCTGCACCCACCACGGCTGTCCCATCATTAGCATAACCAGCACTCAATAGACCCAGGGAACTTTCCAGGGAACTTGTCAGTGCTCTGGCAGGTAGTCAGCCTGGCTTCCCCTTGGCATCACATGGGTGGTGGACTGACATCCAGAGAGAAGCAACGTGCCTTCTGGGTCACACACAGTTGATCAGGGCTGGGACTGGGGTGCAGTCAGTCAAGGTTAGGGCCTCTGGACTCTGTCTGCCCTAAGAGGCGGGCAGTAGAGGGTGCCATGATGGCAAGAAGAGGTGGGACTATATGCATATGTATACTTCATCTCTGAACATGTACCTGACAGGTGCACTGGCTGCTTGTCCAAGGACAAAAGCCCCAACTTTGGGAAGGCTGCTGCGGGGCCCGTTGCAGCCGTCTCCCCTGCCTGTGTTTTTGCTATCCCTGGCTTGAGCTTCTGTCCACATCCTGTTGGTGCCCCCACAGCCACCCTGATGACATCACTATGTCAACTTCCAGCTGCTGACCTAGGATGGGAAATAGTGTTAGCTAAAACCAGCTTCCAGGTATAAAGCCCCGCCCTCGCACCCACCCTCAACTCAGGGAGGGGCAGCAGGAGCAGAGCAGGGCATGAGGCCCTGGGAGGCCTGAAACCGGGCCAGCTCCTGCCCTAGATAAGATGATGGTGGCCTACTTGGGCTGGCCCTGGAGGGACCCTGCGGGCACCTGAAAGTAGGTTAGGGCCTGATTACAGTTAGCCCACCCAAGGGCACCCCAGTCCAGAGGCCCTGCCTGCAGCCGGCATCTAGCAGGCACTTTAGTCTGCAAGCCTTTTCCAGGCCAGAATCCACTTGGCTCTCACCATAAGCCTGTAAGACAGGAACTGAGATGGATGTCCTCCCTCTAAGTTCACAGGCTGGAAACTGAGGCACACAGCTGCAAGGGAACCTGGCCAAGGACAACAGCCAGCCAGAACAGGCCTGGGTGGGGTGCAGGTAGAACCACACAGATCAGGGGATCGCGATACCACCTTGCGATCCTGTGGATATCCTTGGTGTACCCCAGATAGCTGGCTCCCTGGCCTGTGGTGTGATGCTCACACAGCAAACAGGGACCTGCCCCTCCTAACTTTCCTGTCAGTCAATGGAGACTGCTGGTGGGCTACCCAGGGGCCATCATCTGGATCAAAGAACTTGTGATGCCACTTAGAAAATCCAAGGCAAAGGGCAGTGTAGTTGGAGAGGGTCCAATCCGGGTGCCAGTTAGATAGCATATGATGCCTCAGTTTCCCCATCTGTTAAGGGGATGGGACAACTCTTTATGCCATGTGTTCATGAAGCTCTCAGCTAGCCAGAAACTCCCCACAGTGCCGGCTGTAGAGTCAACAGTCCGCAGAAATTTAACCTGGATGCCAGAAACCCATCACGACCAAAGACAAGGTCTCTTCTGTGTGTTGGAAGCGGAACATGTCATTGCTAGATCAGTCTTCCCTTCTGTGAAATGGGGTGATGTTGTGAGATTGGGGAAAACACTGACCTTCATTAAGTGTTAGATCTTGCAGGCTGTTCTCAACATGAAGTGAAACAGTGTGGATAAGGCATTGAGCCCAGTGTTTTGTCCCCATCATGGGCTCCATAAATTACACTAGTTTTTCCCCCACACCGGGCGGGGGCAAGGGGAGAGGCGATAAGGGACTACAACTACCAGCACGCCCAGCGCTCCCAGTTAGGGTTCCGCCGCCCGGCGCCGGCGCCCGGCATGCTGGGAGTTGCAGTCCTGGAACCATAGGTCTTCCTCATCGCGGCTTGGACGGGGAGGAGGCTGGAGAGCCGCCCTGCCGGCCTTTGAATTTTGCCGCGAAAAGAGCGCGTGGTTGCCCCCGGCCCCGCCCCCCGCAGGACGCGGCGCCGCGTCACCCTGGTAACCGCCTCTCGGCCGTCGCTGATTGGACCGGGCGGCGGAGGGCGGGTCAGGGGCGAGACGCCGCGGCGGCCCCGAGCGCTCGCGCCTGTCAGTCGGGCCGGAGCGGAGCAGCGGGCAGGACGGCCGGGCCGGAGGCTCCGCGGACAGCCTGCGTGCGCCGGGCCTGGTGGAGGTGGAGAGCGTGGGCCCCGCCGCCTGCCGGGGCGCGGCGGTGTGCGGCACTCGGGCCCGGGAGCCGACGCGCGCCAGGGAGGCGCAAGGCTGCGGCCCCGGGGGCCATGGGCGCGTGAGAGCCAGGTGCGCGGCGACCCTGCTGCAGCTCGCGAGCCCTCCAGCGCGACGCACCGGCCACCGCGTCCGCCCCGGTGCTACTCGGACTGACTGACTTCTTTCCTCGACGCCGAGGCCCCCGAGGCTGCTTCCGAGCCTCCACCGCCGCAGCTGCCGCTCGTTCGCCGGCTTCCCCTCCCCCCACACCCGTGGCTCGGAGCCGGAGCAGGAGGAGGAGGGGCTGGTGCATTCTCGCCGCTGCTCTTTGCAACCTGCGGGGGCCCGTGCATGCCCGGCGAGGAGCCGGGGGGGCCCCTGCAGGTGTGTGTGTTTGTGCAATTCCCTCTCTACCTCCCTCCACCTCACCTCCCCCGCCCCGCCCCCGAGGAGACGACCCTCCCACCCCTCGTGCGAGCCCGGGGGGCTGCCAGCTGCCGGCGGGCGGGCCAACGAGAGGAAGCAACAAAGACAGGCTGCAGCTGGGGCTTGGCGCGAGGGGCCGCGGCCGCCGGGCTCCCGGCGCGGGCCGAGCCGCAGAGCCGAGAGCCAGGCCCGGAGGGAAGCCGCAGCGCCGCCCGCCGGACGCAGCCAGCACAGGCCCCGCGGCCAGGATGAGCCGCCCGAGCGCCCGCACGGCCCGGGCTGCGGGCGGGCACGCTCCCCGCTGAGCCGAGACACTGCGGACGGCGCCCTTGCCCTTGCGGAGAGACGCCCCGGCACCCCGCCACCGCACCCCGGGGGGCTCTCGTCGGCAGACCAGCGCCGCCCGACCCTGCATGGCTGCCACCCGCCCAGCGGAGCGTCGTAGCCGCTGAGACCCGCTGCCCCCGCACAGTCCGGCTGACCCGGTGAGTTGCGCGCGACGGGGGCTCCCCTCCACCCCACCAAGGCGTCCGGGCAGCGGGCCTGGTAGCCGTGTCGCCGGACCCCGAGCTTGTCCGCGCCCTTTGCTGATCTCTCTTCACATGCAACTTGTCTGGACCGGCCAGCCGGCTGGCGCGAGCGTGGTTTGGGGGCGGTGGTTGGGATTCCGCGGTGGGGAGCAGGAGCCCAGGGCGGGGCGGATGCGAGAGAAGAAAGGTGACCTCCTCCCTCCATACATACTCCTCTGGTGGTGCTAACCGAGGCAGCGGCTCCGCCGTCCCCAAGGTTCCCCGCCCCCCGGGAACTCCCGCAGCTCGGGAGCCCAGGAAAGGTCGAAGGGGCGGAACTGGGGTCCGCAGGGGACGTCTGCTCGAATTGGGGTGTGGGCACCTGGCCAAGGTTGTGAATCGTGGCGGTCTGGGACTGGGTCGTAACGTAGTCTCGCTGCCGGCCCGGCGATCCCCACTAGTAACTCGCCGGGACCTCGCGCCAGTGCTTTAGTGGTAGAGGGGATGGTGGTGGTGGTCTTGGCGGCCTGCAGCTGCGTGACGTCACTGCCCGACCTCTGACGTCACCGGGGTTGCCGTGGCGACACGTCTTGCCTTGACCCGAGGCCGGAGGGGGCGGGGTCGTGGTAAGCGGACTGAGCTCGGTGCTTTGTAGTCCGGATGGAGTGGAGACCGACTCCTCCCCCCATTTCGCAGTTCTCTGACCTAAATCTCCAGAGCCCCACGAGGTGGGGGAGGGCTGCCGTGCCAGCTGTCCCTGTTAATGCTGCCCCCACCCCCAGGACAGGTGCTCAGAGCTTTGCTCTTATAGTCTGGTGGTGTCCAGAGGCCCTGTCTCAACAGCAACTTCTTGCTGTTAAGGAGGGGGGGCAAAAGAAGACCCCTCTAATCTCCACTTTGTCCCCAGCCAGCAGACCCAAAACCCCTGGGGGCCTCCAGTCTTCTTGTGCGTGCCACTTGCCTCAGGAAAAGGCAGGTGCACTACCTCCAGCTGGGGAGGGGGTAGTGAAGCTGCTGCCTGTTTGCTGTCCCCTTGGCAATTCAGGGGAACCCCCGTGTTGCTCAGAGCTGAGCTTGGGTTCAGGGACCTCTGCTGGGCCTCCAGGTCCTCACTGCCCCATAGGTTCCTTTTGAGGTCAGGATTGCTGTAACAGCACCTTGAGGTGACCGGAGGTGGTTGGTGGGAATGGCCAGGGCTTTTAAGTGTGTGTGTGTGTGTGTGTGTAGTGTGAGTGCTCAGCTTGCGTGGGCGTTGGGTGCCAACCCTGCCCCTTCCACCCCCCTCACACACCTCTCAGTGCACCTGCCTTGGTCCCTTGCAGAGTGGCCTCTTAGCCAGCCCCTGGCGGCAGCTTTGTGGTCTCTCAGTTCTGTTCCCAGTAGCAACTGTCAGTGTCGGATGTGGGTGAAGCTGCTGGCCAATGCTTGACACAAGCTAGGAAAACTGTATCGTTGCCGTTAACAGTCTGAGGTGGGGTGACACCGGAACAATGTGGGGTGGCGGGACAGGACCCTTATGAGACCCAGCTGTCCCCACTCCCCACACTCCAGCCTGTTCTGGTTCTCCCACAGGGTGAGGAGACAGTAGTCGATAAGTAGCCATGAAGCTGCCTTGGGGTGCCTGGCAGGGAGAGGGGGCTCCTCAGCCAAAGTGGTGACCCCCTCCCTTGGCTTCCAGGGATGGCAGATGGGGGCAGCGCTGGGGGAGGCGGCGGCAGGGCTGCTGGCGCTGCTTCTCAAAGCTTCCCAGTTTAGCAACAAACTCTGAGCGGGCGCGCCAGAGAGCCCCAAACACAGGCAGTTGGAGGCCCTCCTAATGTTTACTCTCCTGCAGCCAAGGCGGAGGGCGGGGAGTGCCGGCAGAATCGGGCGATCCCTTCTGCTCCCTCCCCTGAGCTTGGCAGTCAGCGCCAGACGACTGCTAACACACACACACACACACGCACACACATTCCCTCATGAGCAGGAGGCGGTGCCAACTTAGTGCCAGCTCAGCCGGCATCTCCCTGGGTACCAGGCAGTGTTTTTAGGATAAAACACCTTCAACGCACTGGGGCCCATTTTGTGGATGAGCAAACTGAGGCTGCAGCAGAGCATGGGATGGGCTAGAGAAGCCCTGGCTTCTACAGGGGGAGAGAGGAGAGGAGGCATCCCTAACCGTTAGACAGGGACCCCTGTCGGAGTTGGGGAGCTGTTGACTATGCAGCAAGCTGGCCCTTCCCTAAGTGCCTCTTCTGCATGGAAACCCTGGTCTTGAATCCTGGTTCCCCAGTAGCCATTCTAGCTCCCTCCCTCCCCTCGCCAACCCTCTGTTTCTTTCCTGCCTGCTGGGAGGGAAGGGGTGATGAGCCCCAGGTTCCTTGTGTCTAGTGGGACAGGCAGTGGCACATGTGACAGGTGCAGCTTGTGTCAAGTCCTAGCTAGGACTGTGCCGCACCGTAACCTTGGCTGTCCGTTGTGCTCAGGGCTGTCTCCCCTCAATTTGGCTCCCTAGTCCCACATAATCCTTTTCAGAGTCTAAGCTTGTCCAGCCTTTGTACCTTCTCTTCAGCTTCATGCTTGCTTTAGGGCTGGGATGGCCCTGGCAGCTGAACTCCCTTGGGGAGAAACTCCAAGCTCCCCTGTGGTGGTGGTGGATGGCTCAGGACCAGGCCCTGCAGGGAGCTGGATCCCAGCTTCCTGGCTGTGTGGTCTTGGGTGAGTAGCATTCTTCTCAGTTTGATGGAGGAGTCAGTGGTGACAGCCGCTGCCCCAGGGTGAGGATTTGTGGGGGATGGGGAGCACCATGCACAGGCTGGGCAAGCCCCCTGTTCTGGGGGCTTCGGGGAGCCCCATTTTCCGGAGTGGAGCCTCCTCCCCATCCTTGGGTGTCAAAGATCAAAGACCTCAGCTGCAAGGCAAGGGTGCCCTCTACTGGAGGAGCAAAGGTTGAGGGGGTCCTGGGGAGGAAGTGGTCCCACCCCAGCCCTTGTCTGCCCCTCCTCCTGCCTCTCCTGCCTCCCCCCCCCCCATCCTTCTGGAATAGGGGCGGAAGCGCAGGAGCGGAGCAGCTCATATTCATGAACCGTAATTCAATCAGGCGGCCATTCCTCGGAGAACGAGGAGGCGCGCACAAAAGGGCCGCTTTATTACCTCCCGCGGGCCGGGGACCGCGGCGCTCCCCCAGCCGAGGCCGGAGCCGCTTTTATTGTGTTAACCCATTTGCGTGTCAAGAGCTATTGTGCACCAGCATTGCCTGTGCGCACGCGGGGCGGCGGGAGGGCGGGAGGAGGCTGCTGCGGCGCCCGGTCACCTCCGCGGGCGCCACCCGCCGCCCTGATTGGTTGCTAAGTGATTTGCATCCAAGGTAATCACTTTTATCTCAGAAGGATGTCGACTATAATTATAAGCTACTGACATCTTTTGAAATCTGCCTAATGACTATTTTAGTCTGCACCAGGCTAAGGATGGGGGGGGTGCAGAGGGATGGATTCCTTATCCTTGAAGGTCGAATTCCTTAGTAGGGCCATGTCTCAGTGCCTATTGTGTGCATTACCCAAAAGGTGGGGTGCACCAGCATGGGGAGCTTGGTTTCTGTGGGTACCACTTGAGAGCTGGTTAAAGGGAGCCTCCCCCTACCCCAGCTCCACTGCCAGGAAGGAGCCACGTGCCCAACCCCACAGGACCAGAAAGTGGCTGGCAGGTGGATCACTGGGCCCCTGTAGCCCCAGGTGTAGACCCACATTATCACATCTGGGGAGAGGGCCCCAATCTGGAATGTTCCGGAGTCTGGGTCAGAACCCCAACCTGTCCCCCTCTCACCCACCCCATTTTACTGAAGGGTGGGGTGCAGGGAGAGGTGCAGCACCACTCAAGGTCAGAGGTGGGCAGGTGGCAGGCCCAGCCCCCTGCCCCCAGACCTCTCTTCTGCCCCCTTTTGGTCTGGTTCAGGAAGCACCCCACCGCTTGGGGAGAACCCTGGCTGGTGACTGGAGGCTGGCCGAGGACGGAGCTCTGGAATGAGTGGGGGAGAGCAGATGAGCGCGTGACCCCTTCAGCTGAGCAGGGCAGAGGAGAAGGCCGGGGTTTGGAGAAATGCTGTTGGCGGAACCCATGGGTTAGCCTGGTGTGGCATGATCAGAGGTGTTGTGGGCGTGAGGAATTGGAGAATCAAAGGTCATTGCTAGAAAGGGCAGGGGGAGCTCATAAAATGGAGGGAAAAGGGAGAAGCTAGGAGGGTGACTGGGAGGCCTTGAATGCTGGGCTGAAACCATCACAAGGTTCCAGCAGCAGGTGATCCTGCAGAGGCTGCCAGGACCCTTGGAAACCTGAGCCTTGGCATCTATGTGTGTGCTCTGCTGGCCAGTTGCTTTACTATTCTGGGCTGTGGTTTGCTTGTGGGCACATAGGGGTGAGGTGGGGGTGAACTGGGGGGTGCAGAGTGCTTCCCCTGAGCGCTGGGACCAGCAGGGAGGTAGAGGGGCTTGGCTGAGGCCCTCAGAGCTGAGTTGGCCAAGCTCGGGCCCCGGATCACTACATCAAGCTGGCAGCCTAGTTGTAGCAGCCGTCTGGGGCCTTGGGGGCCCCTGCCATTATGCCCGGGGCACCTAGAACAAAGGCACTGGGGGTCAAGGGGCAAGACCCAGGGGCTGGCTATAAACAGGTTTCCAGGAGACAGGGACTTAATGGTTCTGAGTCTTGGGGGCAGGGGTGTGTGGTGGAAAAGAAGAAGGCAGGAAGGGCCCAGCCAATAGCTGTCTGCTGCCAGGGCAAGGCCAACTGCATCAGGTGCCAGGCGTCCAAGCATGGCACTGGGTTGGCAGAAGTGGCCTGAGTCATGGGGCTCGGCCCTGCCCCTCGTCCTCTGTAGCAGCCTCCTCCTTCCCCTGTTCATTGGTCCACCTTGGAGGGCAGCTGTATGGCCTGGCGGTCGCCGCACCAGTGGGCAGTAAACAGGAACTGCTATTTTTACTCTTTGTGCATCCGTTCATTGAGAG